AAATGCATTCATGATGTTTTGCAGCCCTCACCACCATCCATCTCTAGAAGGGTTTCATCTTGTAAAACTTGGGGGACTGTACCCATTAAACACTAACTCCTTACTCCCCCCTCCCCTCAGTCCTGGCGACTACCATCCTACTTTCTGTCTCTAAGATTTTGACAACTCTAAGTACCTCATATAAGTGGAATCATACAGTGTTTGTCTTTTCGTGACTGGCTTATTTCAATTAACATAATGTCCTCAAGTTTATCCGTGTTGTAGCAAATGTTAGAATCTCCTTTCTTTTTAAAGCTGAATAATATTCCATTGTTTTTGTTTTGTTTATCCATTCATCCATTGATGGACACTTAGGTGGTTTTCGCATTTTAGTTGTTGTAATAATGCTCCTATTAACATGGATCTATAGCTGTCTTTTCAAGATTCTGCTTTCAATTTTTTGGGTATATACCCAGAAGTGGAATTACTAGATCATATGGTAATTTTATTTTTAATTTTTTGAGGGACCACCATACTGTTTTACACAGCACCTGTACCATTGTACATTCTCACCAGTAGTGCGCAAGGGTTCCAATTTCTCCAGATCCTTGCCAACACTTGTTTTTCTCTGTTTTTTGGATGGTAGTCATCCTAATGGGTATGAGGTGCTAACTTGTAGTTTTGATTTGCATGTCCCTAATGATTAGTGATATTGAGCATCTTTTCCTGCCTTTTTGACCATTTGTATATCTTCTTTGGAATAGAGCCATTTTACATAATTCTGTATGAAGAGCATCTTCAATAAAGAGAACAGTTCTGTTCTACTAAGTGCTTAAGTGTATTGGGGTTAGCGTTGGGCACCACTCTTAAAGATGGTTGTTGCAAACTATCTAAAGGATAGGCCGGGGGAAGTTTGACCTTAAGAAAAAAAATTGGTGAGCAGTGGGTTAGAGGGTGAACAGACTTGGGAAAATGTATACAAAGTTAAAGAAAGATTTCATTCAACATAAGGAAAATTTGATAATATTGGAATTAACTATATTATGTTGAGTTTTTTACCTCTTGAAGTGTTCAAATAGAAACAGGATCTTGGAGTTATACCTAAAGGAGTTCCTTCATAAGACCAAATGGCCTCCAAGGACCCTTCCAGATCTGAGTGTCTGAGCTCATTTACTCTCTAGGCATCTTCAAGCCGTATTTATTGCTTCTGTATCTCTCACATACACTCCTAGTGCTGAGCTCTAGCTTGGCTTTTCGTTGCCACTGTTTGGATTGTGCAGTAACCTCCTGATTGATCATCTGGTCCTCTTGGTTCCCCTGCCCCTTTGTCTTGCATGCTGTATCCAATTAATTTTTTTAATAGCTTTTTGAGAGATAATGTACATACCATTAAGTTCACCTGTTTAAAGTGTACAAGTCAATGTTTTTTTAGTATATTTACAGAGTAGTACAAGCATCACACCCTAATCTAATTTTAGACCATTTTCGTTACCGCCAAAAGAAACTTCACACCCATTAGCAGTCACTCCTCGTTTGCCCTACTTCCAGCCCTAGGCAACCGCTCTCAATTAATTTTTTGTGTAAAACATGGCTCTCATTGTGTTGCTTTCCAACTAGGAGGCCTTCAATGTCTTCCTAGTCTGTATAATTAAGAAAACATTTCTTACCCGGAGTTCAGATTTTTCCATAATCTGATTTCAGTTTCTTTTTCCAACTTCAGCTTAGACCCTTCCCCAGGGTCTAAGCCGAAGTTGATTATAAGCTCCTTAAGGGCAGCAACCATGTAAACTTTTTCTTTATATCTTGTTAGCTTAGCTGAGCATATAGCTATGCACAGAAATAGTCTGTCAGTATAATGGAATGAATAGTGTTGGCATTGAGCAGAATGCAGAATTTAGACTCTGTCAGCCACAAACTTCAAAGTCTTAGTAGACATGTCCATGTTTTATATGGCTTGGCTCTGTGTAGAGCTTGATACCATTCTTTCATTAATTCATTCAATAAACGCTATTGGTGTCATACTTTGTCTATTAATTTCTCAAAACTCTGTTCTTAATTTAGTTAACTTTTTCTTATTGCTGTCCTGTAACTGAATTCTCTGCTAGCTTTCAGCTCTGCATTATTCTGGAAATTTCCTGCTGTTTATAGGATTTTTCTCATGGTAGATTAGTATATTACTACCACCTCTCTAGACCTATACAGTCCTATTGTTACACACATTATAGGACTTTATTATTGTAGGTTGTCACATAACCTCAGTCTCTGTAGTCCCATTATTGTACTCTCATGGTGTATCACAGTATGAAAGTGTCATGTTTGGAGAGTTGTACGGTGATGAGTGCTGTGGGAGACAGTTGCATTCCTTAAGTCCCTTATGGCTTGATTGCGAACGTCAAGAAGCATTTTTAGTTTGAAACCATAGCAAGAAAAGTACTACATTCTAAATGTTAGAATTATAAAGAAATGAATAATACAAATGTCTAGATTCTCAAGGAGCTCACAGTCTCATTGTAGAGACTGATTTTAAAAACTCAAATAGTTATGACATTATCATGAGTATTGTAGTAGAGGAGTGGGTGCTAGGATTAGAGCAGCCCAAAGGAGGGTTGATTTCTTTTGCCGTGGCAAAATTATAGTTTGGGAGCTGGAGGACAGGTAAGCCCTTTGAGGATGGGATATGTCTTAATTATTTTTCTATCCCCAGCACCTAGCATATGGCATATGGAAGGTGATCAATAAATGATAAATGAATAAATCATCTACTTGCTGTCGAGTATGGTAGCTACTAGCCACATATGGCTGTCGAGTACTTGAAATGTGGCTAGTTGGAATTGAGGTGTGCTATGAGGGTGAAGCGCTCACTGGATTTTGAAGAATTATTTAAGAAAAAAGAGTGTAAAATATCACAGTTTTTTATATTGATGATATGTTGAAATGGTATTTGATATATTGGGTCAAATAAAATATATGATTAAAATTAGTTTCCCTATTTTTACTTTTATAAAAATATGGCTACTAGAAAAAAAAACTACGTGTGTGTCTTGTATTATACTTCTCTTGGACAGTGCTGCCCTCATTTTACTCCCTTAGCGAGAAGAAGTGATGTGACCAAGGCCACAAAATAGCAAAAATATCCTTAAAATGGAGGACTTACATGTTGGATTTCTTGCCTTCTTGTTCACTTCTCTTTCTAGGCATAAATTAGTACAACGTCAGTATATAAATTTTGAGGTCAAATGGCATCAGTTTGGTCCTTTAGAGATGACATGATCTCTCTGCTTTGGTTGTCCTATCATTGAGCTTAGTAATCACTAAAATTTTTTTGTTTTATATGTAAATATTGATCTCCAGAAAATCTGCGTTTTTAGTTCTCAGTATTTTCACACTTGATGCCTCTATTCCCACTTCTCTGTTGCTCTTCTCCTTCCCATATACGCATATATACTCACAGCTTCCTATTTTATTCCTTATTTCCATTAAAATTCTTCAAATTTATTGACACCTTTCTCTGTATTTTGTGGGGGATAAGCCTTTGCCATTACCTGATGTGCTATATAGATAGCTGGTTGTTTTAGTGTCTTTTACATACATTAATTTTCTTGCCTAATCCTCTCAAAACTGCATGAAGTGTAGGTCCTATTATGATCCTGATTTTACAATCATGAAATCTCAGGCTTAGAGAGGGTGGTGTGCTCATGGTCACACAGCTGAATAATGCACAGAATCTGCAAGCTGGAACTGTAAAAGAGAAAGGGCAGGAAGCCTTGGAATTTTTCCTACACACAGACAGGCCTTAGACATTGGGGAACTCTGGGTCCATAGAGCTGACGATTAATGTATTAGTGTATATGCCAGAAAAAAAGTACAAAAATCCATTCCAAAATGTCTGGGGATGTGAATGAGTATTGCATATGTAAGTATATGAGAGAGAGAGAGAGAAAGAAATAGGAATAGAGAGAGAATGAATGAATGAACATGGTTGATTTTGAAGACTGGGTCCCCATGTCTTCATCTTTCCTGCACTTTCCTCTCTTCCCATTTCTGACAGTGGAATTACTCACCACACTTCCCCTTTCTTCACTACAACTCAGGTCAGGTCAAAAGTCTGAACAGTTGTTCATCAACATGTTTATAAAGCTTCTCTTCGGATAGAGGGGTCTCCGGGGATTTTAAATTTCTTTTTTATTTGTTTTCTATGTTATTTGAATTTTTTTATAATAACGTATACTAAGAAAAACTATATAGAAAGAATAGCAAAGCTATTTTCATTTGGAAAAAATCAGTAGCTTTAATTCCAAAAATAAACATTTCACCCTAAAATTTCAGAATCCCCTCACTTGCTCTCTGCCATTCCAGTGTTCTTTGGCCTCAATTTTGTAGCCCTTAGGTGAATGATTAGAGTAAATTAGTTCTCCAAAAGTCAGTGCTATATATACCATCTCTCTGTCACAGAGGTGAGCTTTATTCTAGAAGTGACATTTATTTCTTTAGCAAAGATGTTTAATATTTTTGGGGAAGATTTCGTTTTTTTCCCCTGAGGAAGATTAGCCCTGAGCCAACATCTGTTGCCAATCTTCCTCTTTTCTTTGCTTGAGGAAGATTAGTCCTGAATTAACATCTGTGCCAATCTTCCTGTATTTTTTATGTGGGTTGCCACCACAGCATGGCTGATGAGTGGTGTAGGTCCACACCCGGGATCTGAACTCATGAACCTAGGCCACCAAAATAGAGTGCACCAAACTTAACCACTAGGCCATGGGGCCTGGCCCTTGGCAGATTGTTTTTAAACAACAGTAGCTTGTAGTAGTCACATCCTGCAAATATTTTCAAATGCTTTGAATCTAAACAGGCTGTTTGTGGCATAATGGGACCTTGGTTCTCTTCCAACTCCCCTCTGATAAATTGTCTTTCCAAATTACCCAGCAAGGGGTGAATTTATTTGTTGTCTCAGAACCTCTGAAAAGTCCATATTTTTCAATTTGCTTTTCACTATTTATTGAACTGCTTTATGTTCTTTTAAGATGCTAGTGATCAAAGAGAAGATGTTTATATTGGAAACCACATGCCTTGCCCTGAAAACCTCAATGGTTACTGCATCCATGGAAAATGTGAATTCATTTATTCCACTCAGAAGGCTTCTTGTAGGTAAGTCATTACCTCCAGATCAGAGGTGAGAAATTTTTTCCATCAGTGGTCACTGCTCTATAGAAGGAAATGAAATGTGGACTAAATATTATCAAAAAGTAACGTTTGTTTGTTGTAGAGATGTAAAAAAATAAATTAGCATAGTTTGGAAAAAAATTGGCAAGTAATTTGCAAAAAAAAACTGCAGATGTTGTATTTGGGTTTTGAGATTATGGGCTTAACATTTTTAGTGTTATGTATTTTTTAATATGAAAAATAAGTATACCATATTCCGACCCTATTTTGGTTTTTAGGCAATCTGTCACCAAGTGGTTGAAGGACTAAAGAATGTGTTAAGAACAGAGAACATGGAACTCAAAATATGTACTAAAATAGATTTCTAAAAATAAGGGGATGGGGATGTTAGAACCAGGTGTGATGTGAGAGATGGAAATGGAAAGGGTGTCAATCTTCCCTTTCTGATTCCAGAGAGGCTCTGTGACTTGCTCAGGATCAGGAGCAAGTTAGAAATAGAGCTGGGACAAGACTAGGTCTCAGGTTTCCTGATCCTCAGCCTGATGAGCTGAGTGCCTTTTGTGGTTCTGTGTCTGTCTACCACTAACCCTTCTTGTGCTGCTGCTGCTGGGACCTCACCCTCTGCCCCAGGTTGGTCTAGGTAGCCAGGTAATGTTTCCATAGACCAGGGGAGATTGCTCTCATTCTGCTTACTCCTGCTTCCCACAGTTGGCCAGAATCTTTTTTTTTTGTTTCTTAGTCAAAACACCAAGACATGGAGAAATATTATACTTTTCTTTTGTCCTGTCAACCCAGAAGCCAGTGAATCTTTCTCTTCAAGAAGTAAAAGAAAGCAGGTCTCCTGGTCCCTCTACTCCTTTAGCTCCCTTCTCCTGACTCTTTTTTCCTTCTCCTCCTGTTAAAAAACAAAACAAAATAAAACACTGTAAACTGTTAATAGTTAAATAATTCTTTGTTAAATTTAAGCTTTTGAATTTTTCCTGATTGAAAGTTTTCCTTGTTTTTGGAGGAGCTAACCACCCACCCCCGCCTTTTCCCAAACACTTAAAAACTACAGCTGTACAAAAGAGAACAGGCCAGTAAAATTAATCAACATGTAGCGTTTTATTAGGGCAGTTGTAAAACAAAAACATACAGTGGATTCCTCATTTGTGTCACAGTGGCATACATCTTGATAGAAGTTCAGATCGCGTTGTACTCTTAGGGTGGAGCATCTTTCAAGATACCTACAGGAAGGATGAGAGAGGATGATGTCCTGATAGTGAAGTGATGTCAGGCACTTTGTAGTATTTTATGAATTGACAGTAACAGGATTGGATGGTATGGTGGTTAAAGCCTTTGGAATCAGATACACCAGACTGGCCAATTATCAGTTATGCCCTTTGGCAGTCACTTAAAATTTCTAAACCTCACTTTTCTCATTTCTAAAATTATATTAATAAAAGTGCCTACCTCCAAGCGTTGTTAAAATTAGATGAGATAGTATAGGTAAAATGCTTAGCACGACACCTGGTACACAGTGTGTATTTAATAAATAGCAATTGCTAGTATTAGACTGTAAGTGCCATTAGGTCGGGGACTCTGTTTTGCCTACCACCGTCTTCCTAGTACCTTGCATAGGACCTAGCCCAGTAGCTACTCAGTAAATTGTGTTTTGAATGACATGATGATTATCAACTTTTCCCTCTTTTCCAGACCAGGGGTGTTTCTTAAATGCTAAAGAATCTCTTTTCTGTACACTGATAACTCCTAAAAAGCAGTTGATGTTTTTCTTGTGTCAGAGTACTTCAATGTCTACAAGAACCAGGCCATAACATCGCATGCACTTCCACTAGTAGCTGGGTGTAGTAGTTTGGGTGGCAGTAAACAGGCAGGGGTGAGGAACCTTTAGCCATAGTCCTATTATCAGGTTAGAATCTTCTCACATTGTCCCACAATTAATTTGTTTGTTTGTTTATTTATTTATTGCTTACTTTGTACCAAATTTTACCTGGCACTGGGGTCTTAAATTGAAATATTCCAGGGATCCATGGATCATGCCTTCAAAAAAACGTATAATCTGGTGGAAAAGACTGACACATAATAAGCAATTAAAATTTAATATGAAAAATGCTGTCACACATAGATGTACAGGAGATGATTAGGGACTTCAGACAAGGCACTTCAATGTTCATGGGGTGGCAGACATTGTGAGAGGAGGGGCAGGTCACAGGAACATTTCTGCCATCCCAGGAGCTTGTCCTTTATTTTAAAGGCAGCAAGAAACCACTTAAGAATTTAAGTGAGAAAGAGGTGATCAGATCTGAAAGCCACTCTGGTGCTGCTTTGTGGAAAATGGATTAGGAGACTGTATATTAGTAAGAAGTGAGAGCCTGAACTAAGTAAAGGAGTTGTAGTTGGACTGAGATAAGGAGACGAATTGCAGAGAAAGAAGCAGGTGGTTGAATCCATAGGTTTTAGTGACCGTCTGGGTACGAGGATAGGAATGTGGGAGTTGGTGGGAGGTAGTGGGAAGGAAGAGTGAGGAGAGTCTCCCAGGTTTCTGGCCAAGGCAGAATTGAGTGGGGAAGTACAGTTGGCAGAGGGAATAGGATTTAGGGGAAAATGATGTATTCAGGTTAATATTCTTGGTCTCAGGTGCTTGTGGGGTATCCAGTTATGGATGTCTTGTAGGCTACTGGATATATTTTGGTTTTAGAACTTAGGAGACATTTGGGAACCATTCCATTTCTAGCATATCCCTTCTAGTTCCTACCCAGAAGTCCTTCCATCCCCTTAGGCCTCAGTTTATTGATCCTATCACCTGAATGTCCTCTTTCCTCCTTACTCAGCTGAAATTCCATGGACGGTCACTGTAGTCCTCCCCTAGTTCATCATACTCACCTGACAACGCTATAACGCTGGTTCATTCCGACCCCCTGCCTATTGCATACCTACACGCATACAGCTGAACATGGCTGCTGTTGAAAGGCACACCACCCAGTTGACTTGTCTTGCTGACGTTTGTGCTCGACGTGGGCCCTTCACACTGCCAGGCAGTCATTCTGTAAGTGTAGTCCATTCATTCTCCTTCTCTCCCAGAGGACTGCTTCATACCTTCACCTCTCTCTTCAGACTGTCAGTACGTCCTCTCTCATCCTTCCTCTCTGCGGATGATCTTGTTTCCAAGTTCACTGAGAAAACTGAAGCAGTATGAAGGGAACTTCTACAGACTTTCACTATCTACCAGCTCTCTCTTTTTCTCCATGTCATATATCTTTGTATAAATATATTTTATATATATTCATAAATACATTTTTATTTCTTCTATCATGGGGAAAAAACCCTTGTTCTCACTTGCACCAGCTACCGTCCTTGGCAGGAGAACTTGAAAGAGTTGTCTATGGTTGGTCTCCACTCCCTCACTTCCCATTGCTCTTGAACCCACTCCAATAAGCTTTTGCCCCCAACGCTCCACTGAGACTGTTCTTGTTGCTAAATTCACTGGTCAATTCTTAGTCTTAAATTACTTTTGAATGATCAGTAGCATTTGACATAATTGATCAGTCCTTCTTGTGTGATACACATTCTTTACTTGGCTTTGGGATTACATGAGCTTTTGGTTTTCTCCCTCTTCCCTGACCATTCCTTTTGGTCTTCTTGGCTGCTTCCTCTTTTGCTCCCTGACCTCTCAATGTGGGCGTGCATCAGGGTCCAGTCCTGGTCTTCTTTCTTAGTGATTCCATCCAGTCTCAGGGCTTTACCTGACATATGCTGATGACTTTTAATTTACGTAAATCTCAGACCTCTCTCCTAAGCCTGGAACTCATAGATCCCTGTCCCTCCTTGACATTTTCACTTAGATTTCTGACACCTCAAGCTCGGTAGGACCTAAGCTGATCTCCTGATCTGCCTCCCCTCTCCTAAACCTGCTCCACCTGTAACCTTCTCTATCTCGGTTGATGTCAACTTCATCTTTTCATTTGCTCAGACAAAACACCTCTGATACATCTCTGACTCTTCTCTCTCTCAAACTCCACAGCCAGTCAGTTGGAAAATCCCGTTTGCTCTAGTTCAGAATATATCCAGAATTCGGTTACTTCTCACCCTTGCCACTGCTGTTCCTGGTGCAGGCCTCCATTTATTCTCCCTGGCATTAATGTGGTAACTTCCCTGATTGTGTCTTTCAGTCCATATTCAGCACAGCAGCCAGAGTGAGCCTTTTAAAATAAATGTCAGTTCATATCATTCCTCTGCTAAAACCGTTCCAGTGGCTCCTCCATCTCAGTGAGTGCAGAAGGCCCTACACCGTTTGCCCCCGTCACCTGTCTGTCTTGGTCCCCTGCTTCCCTTTCCGCTTTCCCACCTCCCTCCAGACACGCTTGCTGCTCCTTGGACACGCCGTGCACTCATGCTCGCACCTCACCATCTTTGCACCAACTCTTCCTTTGCCCGATATGCTCTCCCAGTTGTTCCAAATGGCAGAATCCTTCACCTCCTTCATGTCTTTACTCACATGTCTTTACTCCTTCACTTCTTAATGAAACCTACCCCGACTGCCTTACTTAAAATTGCAGTCCTCCCTTCCTGGCCCATACCTGGCACCCCCTTAATTCTGTTTCTTTTTGAGTAGTACCTGTCACCTTCTAACATAACCATTTTATTTACTTAGGTTTATTGTCCCTCCCTCCCCTGCTAGAGGGTAAACAGGCCAGGTATCTTTGTTTTGCTCACTGATGTATCCCAAATGCCACTACAGTACCCAGCACATGTCCGTAAACATGTCAGTAAATATGGGTGAGCAAATGAATCAGCGCATGAGGCCACAGGAGGGAATGAAATTACTATGGAGGGTGTGTGGGATGCAAGAATAGAGGGCAGAGGACCAGGTGCCTGGATCTGCCTTTAATCCATAACAGAAGAAGAAGTAATAACCTGAAAGTTAATACTCGAGATATTTGGAGAGTATGACCCAAAAGTCAGTTACAAAAATAATATCCAGGGAGGATTGCCTGAACCGTATATGGCCTACACATTCTTCTCGATATTCTGATTTTAATTTTTGGATTAAGCTTCACATTCAGAGGGCTACCTATCTAGGACATTTTTATAGCCCCCTTTAGAACTGTTTTTATTTTACTGAGCTTTGACTTTTGGCCATTAGCCTACTGTGAAAGATAGTATTTTAAAAATCTTACGAGACTTCATTATATCATTGAAGTTATTGCAGCTGTGCTGTTAAGAATGATGATCTCTAATGCCAGACAGTGCTCTCTTTACACGAGGACCAATGAGATAAAGTTCCTTGAATTTAGTAAAAATAGTAACTGGTTCTTTTGAACAACTGCTTTGATTTTATTTTATGGAGACTGTATTTTGTGTGAATGATCTTACCACTTTCTTTTCTTTCATTCTTTTTTACAATCCGATGGTTTTTAGTCTATTCACAGAGTTGTGCACTCACCACAGTCAACATTAGAATATTTTATCATCCAGAAGAAACTCCAGGCCCTTTAGCTATTAGTCTCATATCTCTCCTTCTTCCTAGGCCCTGGACAACCACTAATCTATTTTCTGCCTCTGTAGATTTACCTATTTTGGACATTTCATTTAAGTGGATTCATATAATATGTAGTCTTTTGTGTCTGGCTTCTTTAACTTAGCATAATACTTTTAAGGTGTATCCACGTGGTAGCACTTTGTATCAGTACTTTGTTCCTTTATATGGCTGAATAATATTCTGTTGAACGGACAGTACCACATTTTTTAATTCCACTTATCAGTTGATGTATATTTGAATTGTTTCCACTTTTTGGGTATTATGAATAATGCTTCCTTGAACAATTGTTTGTAAGTTTTTGTGTGCACGTGTGTTTTAATTTCATATGGGTAAATGCTTACGAGTGGAATTGCTGAGCCAAATGGTAACTCTGTGTTTAACTTTTTGGGGAACTGCCAGACTCTTTTCCAAAGTGGCTGCACCAGTTTTTATTCCCTGCTCTACTGTTGCCATCACTTGTTATTATCTGACTTTTTGATTCTGGCCATCCTCTTGGGTGTGAAGTGGTATTATTGTAGTTTGTGTTTTCCTGATGACTAATGATGTTGAGCGTCTTTTCATGTGTTATTGGCTATCAGTATATCTTAGTTAGAAAAATGTGTATTGAGATCTTTTTGCCCATTTTTGCATTTTTTTGCCTTTTGTTAATAAGTTGTAATAGTTCTTTATATGTTCCAGATACAAGTCTCTTATCAAATATATAATTTGTGGGCCAGCCCTGGTTGTCTAGTGGTTAAGTTTGGCACACTCTGCTTTGGTGTGGACCTACACCACTCATCTGTCAGTGGCCAGGATGTGGTAGTGGTGCACATACAAAAAAAAGAAGAAGATTGGCAGCAGATGTTAGCTCAGGGCAAATCTTCTCAGCCAAAAAAAAAAAAGATACGTAATTTGGAAAAAGTTTCTCCCCTCCTGTAGGTTTGTCTTTTCCCTCCTTTGATAGTGTCCTTAAGTGCAAAAGATTTTAATTTTGTTTTAGTCCAGTCTGTCTCTTTTGTTGTTGTTCCTTGTGCTTTTGGTGTCATATCTAAGAAATCATTCCCTAATCTAAGGTCGTGAACATTTATTCCTTTTCCCCCCTAAGAGTTTTTTAATTTTAGCTCTTACATTTAGATCTATGATCCGTTTTGAGTTAGTTTTTGTGTATGTTGTGAGGAAGAGGTCCAGCTTCATTCTTTTGCCTGTGGATGTCCAGTTGTCCCAGCACCATTTGTTGAAGAGATTGCTCTTTTCCCACTGAGCACCCTTGTTGAAAATCAGTTGACCATAGGTGAATGGGTTTATATCTGGGCACTCAATTCTGTTCTATGAATTATATATCTACCTTACTACCTTTTTTTGTCTGCTAGGAAGCTTAGAGCCCAGTGTGAAACCTACTGGCGGGTGTCTCGGAACCTCAGGGATGGGATTCGTGGGCTCATATCACCCCTGGTGTCCCCTGTTTCATTCTTCCAAGTTTCTTTGTTGTTGGTATATGTGCTTTATTAAAGAATCTTTTTTTTATAATGAAGTGTGGGACATTAATAAATACACTTCAGATGTTTTATTAATCAGTTCCAACTGAAGGCTGGCTAATTTATACATTTCACTCTGTCAGCTAAAAAATGTGAATTTTCTGTTAAATATCTGAAATGTTTTCCCCTGTCAAATTATTATCATCAGCTGATGTTGTTGCCTTTTTATTTACTTCTAATTGGAATTAAATAATTTCTAAGATTAGCACCTACTTGACTGCTTGGCTTCATTTCTGTCATTAATAACTTATTTTCATTTCCCACTCGCATCTTAAAAGATCATATTATATATATGCACTGAAAAGTGTCTTGAAGATAGTTGGGTGCTATCATCAAAGAACTGTAAATGTTTATGCTTATTTATTCAATAATCCTATTTCCAAGTATCTAGCCTAAGGAATAGCACTAAATATAGAAAAGTGCACATTCACCAAAGTGTTTACCACACCTAATTTATAATTGTGAAAACTGGAAAATAGCTCATATGTCTTAGAACAAGGAATAGATTGCTATATTATAACCACTGAATGGAATATTAGATATCTGTTTTTTGTTGTTGTTTTTTTTGAGGAAGATTAGCCCTGAGCTAACATCTGCTGCCAATCCTCTTCTTTTTGCTGAGGAAGACTGGCCCTGAGCTAACATCTGTGCCCAGCTTCCTCTATTTTATATGTGGGACGCCTGCCACAGCATGACTTGACAAGCAGTACGTAGGTCTGTACCTGACATCTGAACTGGTGAACCCCAGGCTGCCAAGGCAGAATGTGTGATCTTAACCACTGCACCACTGGGCTGGCCCCTAGATATTTGTTTTTGAATAAAGGTAATAAAGACTATTTAGCAACTTTAAAATTAATGTGATATCATGGTAGGTGAAAGAAGCGCTGTGTAAAATAGGCATCAGAAAACATGTAAGGAAATAGACAAATGGCAGTTTTTTTGCCAATGGTGGGAGAGTGCCTGATTTTCTATTCTGATTTAAATTTATCATTCTTCTGTATCTTTTAATTTTAAAACCTGGAGTTATTGAGGTTTGTAATTCTCATAGTAGTCTTTTTTTTTTCCCCTTTTCAGATGCGAATCTGGTTACACTGGACAGCACTGTGAAAAGACAGACTTTAGTATTCTCTATGTAGTGCCAAGTAGGCAAAAGCTCACCCATGTTCTCATTGCAGCCATTATCGGAGCTGTGCAGATTGCCATCATAGTAGCAATTGTCATGTGCATAACAAGGTAGGTCATGACCTGAGAAATACCAACTTTAAATTAGAGGTGGGTAGCTGTTAAATTAGAAAGACCCTTGAAGCACACGCAAAATCATAGGGGCTTTAACTCCAACCAGTTTTTTAGGAAAAAGCCCTAGAATCAATTCACTGATGTTTCCATCGATCTGACCTCTCCCTGTCTTGCTTCTTTAGAATATGGGCAAGAACTCATTCCCAGGAATACAGGTATTTTTGGGCTACAGGCAGAGGGAGCATGAGAATATTCAATGACATAAAGGAATTTAGGGACTCAGAACTGTGTGTTCTAACACTGCATTCAGGGACAATAATGGTGGTAGCAGAACTTTTAGAATGGCCTGAACATGTACAGAAGACCTATGCAGAAATTTTTTAAGCCTGGCAGAACTAAAAGATGTTTCATGCCCTAAGAATATACTTTATCCATAGTAAATATAATAAGAAGGAATAGATCAGAGGTTACCGAAAACTGCTTTTCTTATTATATCATTGTGCTAATGTTATTTTGTTTTCTGGAATATGGTCATAAATACTAAGCTTTAAAATTCTCTATCATAACTAAAACCATTGGAGTTTATTGCAACTAAACTCCAAATTAAAGGACCTATTTGGAGTGCAGTTGGCATAAAATGGGTATTTTTCAAGCTGAGTAGAAGTTGGAATCTCACCTGTGAAAAATCAAAGCAAATCAAGTTCATATTGTGTGTATGCTTCCTGGTCTTGTGTATTTTCTTCTCGCTTCCCTCTTCCTACCTCCTTTAAGGTTTGGTTCAGAAGTCCCATAAGCATCATCCCTATGCTTTTCTGCATTATTCTGGGCAGAGGATTGGAGCATATCAAGTACAGATATTGGCAGGCCATAATGGATTTATGGCTCTTCTATCCAAGGTCTGGATAGAAGCCAGACTTTCAGTAGTCTCAGCCATCTGGAGCTGAAATGATAAATCTAGAAATGATAACAAAGGTTCTCTAACAGCTATTTTTCATAAAATTCAGATTCTAAAGTCAGTGGACTTTATTCCATAGAACAGATGATCTGCCCTTAGGCAAGACTGCTGAGTATAATATTGGGCAGTAGATTAAAGTAGAGACATAATGACATAAAAAATAATGACAGGAAAGAGAAGATAGAATAAAAACGTGCAACAGCAGGGTTGCCTCTGGCCATTTAATATAGGTGCGGAGCTTAAGTAATTTGCCTGTGGTCATCTACCCATGAGTGGAAGTGCCTCGATTTGGATTCAGTGCCGCTGGATTCCCAAACCAAGAGAAGAGTCCACGTTGAGTCATCTTGGGAAATATATTTGCCAAGTATGATCGTGGTGTGGGAGCAAGGTTCAGACTTGATTTTGTAGCTGTTGAGGGTTTTGAGCAGGAGAGGAACTTGGTATGAACCATTTTTCCAGAGCATTAATCTGAGTGTCACCTGCAAACTTCGTTGAAGGAATGAAAATGTGAGGTAGAAGGAGAGCATTTAGGGCATTAGTAGAGGAAAGCAGGAGTAGGGTAATAAATGATTTGGAAGGTGAAAGAAGTTAAGGTAAAGATAAGAGAAGATTTTGAGGCTTGGTGACAGTGTCACCCTTAAGAAGATCAAAGAATGTCAGAGTGAGTGGAAAGCAACTTTGATTTCAACCCCTTCATTCTAGAGAATTGAGGAAACTAAAGCCCCAGGATGAGAAATGCCTTGCCCAAGGTCGCACAGATGGTTAAACCCTTTATAAATCCTAATCCAGCCTCTTCTCCAGCTCTGTGCTTTTGTTCTCAGTGCGCTATAATCCTCAACTACTAAATTAAAATGACCTGGCAGGTAGTTTTCAAGTCTGTATCCTCTACTTTATACTCCACATGTGTTTTCTGCCTTCACAGACACTTAGACATCACTGTGTTTTTAACTGTGTTATAATGTCTTCACTGCCCACTGTCTCCATCACTGAAGGGTCATCTCACTGAATTTATCATCAGTCTCTCCTTGAGGCTTGTCTTTTTATTGTGAGATTTTCTCCCCTAGATAGATGTGTTGCGCTCTTGGATTTAGATATCATAATTATGTGCTTGGTCATCTCCGTTGAATTTTTAAGGAGTGTCTCTCCCACACAGTCTGTTATGGGACAGCTGTTCACTTGTCGTGGTGGCTGCTACGTGGGAGGAATCCTCTTTTAAAAGGATGTTTCTACTGACCTGCTTATCAACACTGTATAAGTAAAATTTTATTCTTTTATGCTTGGAATCTTTTATGTTTTTAGACTCAGAGAGTGACAGATTGGCAGGGACTTTGGACATCATCCTAGCCAAACACCCTTATTTTATAGTTGAAAAACACCATGGCCCCAGGAAGTCGGACCTTTTCCAAGGTCATCGTGCGTTAGTGACATGTTAAAGAGGATTTTTGCACTTCTCAACCAGTTTCCTTATTTATGAAATGGAGATAAAATTTGTGGAAAACAGTGTATAAAACGGAAGTGTTACCATCCAGGCTTTTAAGTCAAGGCAAAACAGTGCTCTTTGAGGTTGAATGAAAATATGGAACTTTAGAGTAGGAGTACTCATTGTTGCAAGACTTTCTTTTCACTAGATTATAAATTCCTTGCTGGCAGAGATTTTAGAAGTTAGTCCAACTCTTAATTTAATATTTTATATATAGGAAAAGGAGTTTGCACAGCCCAAACTCGGAATTTCCAGGATTCATCGCAGTCCCTTTATTCCGTGTTGCGTAGCACAGCGCCTTGTGCATAGTAAGAGCTCGTCCGTTTGCACTCCTGTGGGCAGGAAAGAGCAGTTACAGCACAGTGGTTCATACCACCATGCAGAAACATGCCCGGTAAAATGAGAGCAGAGTCAAGGAATGTCCCTTCTCCCTGGCATGGCTGTTCTTTCGTGGATTTTATGGTTTGCCCAACCAGGGTGTGGAGTGACTTATTTTGAGTCATTGTCTAAAATCACTAGGCATTTCCTGTGTATTCATATCTGAGGTTAACAGGCATGCATCTTCCTGATTCCTCCTTCATCGGAGCTTTCTTGTCATTTTGGGGGGTGTCAATAAGGATCCTTTCTCCTGTCACTGTGGCTGGGGAGTCACCAGGCCAGAGGAAGGCAGGCATTCCTCTCCAGGGGGATGCATATGCAGCAGTAGAGACCCCAGGAATGAGTTTTGCTGTGTTCGTACCTGCATCGTATATCTAATCCTCTCACCTCCCAGCTTTGTAGGGAAGAGAGCAGTCTGACTTGTTGGTCCTCACCTTGTGTTGCCTCAAGTAGCATCCTGTTCCCCCGTCATGTGATCGCATGCAGTGTGGCCTTATGAGTGAGATGTGTATTACTTTGGAAACATTTGAAATATTCTAAACAAAATGACATTTTTCTCTTTTTTTTAACTCAACAGAAAATGCCCTAAAAACAACAGAGGACGACGACAGAAGCAAAACCTAGGTCATTTTACTTCAGATACGTCATCCAGAATGGTTTAAGATGATAACTTTTATATGTACACTGACCATGTGATGTACATTTATTATGTCTTTTTTTAAAGAATGGAAATATTTATTTCAGAGGCCTTATTTTTGGACATTTTTAGTGTAGTACTGTTGGCTCGTATTTAGAATATTCAACTACAACAGTTTTGGACTGTTTAGTAGTCTTTGTTTTATGTTTTTAAATACAGAAATTGATTTCACAAATTTGTACCACATGGTAATTCTAAGACTTGTTCTTTACCCATGGAATGTAATATTTTTGCAAAGATGGACCACTTCACAAATGGTTATAAAGTCATACCCCCTTCTTCCACAATGACCACAGCAAATGACCAAGCATGAACTAAAGGTAAAGATGTTTACAGATTACTTTTCTTACAAAAAAAAAAAAATCTAGAAGACACTGTGTTTAAATAGACATTTAAATGTTTTTGAGATTTAGAAACTGATTTTTTAGACACTGCCTATCGCATGAACTATAAAGCTGTGTGTGTTAGATGTAAAATATAAGATGTATGGACTGGAATTTGGTTATTCCTCTCTTTGAAAAAATAATTCTGATAATTTGGGAAAGTATCTGGTAGCAATGATGGAGCCGATCACTGAAAGGTAGATTTAGGTATTGTGAGAATAGTCTGTTTAACAAACAGATTGGAATAAAGCCTACTCTCTCAGTTAAACTACTTTAATACACATTCATTTTTAAAGAAAATATTTGTTTTAACATAAATAAACAAATTGTATCAGTGTTTGTGAATAAAATGCAAAAATGATTGTTAATGATTGGTGCTCTTAAAGTGAGCTTAAAAATTATCTAAGAACTCTACCCAAATTTGTCCTGTAGTCATAGCTATGTTAATAGATTGTTGGTGTTTAAGGATCTGAAGTGTGAGTAGAATGTGTTCAGCTGTTTTAACATGTTTAGATATTCAGAAGTATGCATGTAGAATTTAAGAATATGTTCAAAATTAAATATTAATTTTAATATTTGGTTTGGAAAAGCATGTTATAATATAATGTTTTCACTATATGGCCTCTGTTTTGGTGTGTTTATTTACTATATTCTTTGATATTGATATATCAGTACATTTAATATTTGAAATTAATAGAAAAAGCAGATTTCACTTCAAACGTCCCCTTCGCTTTTACAAATACTGCTGTAAATTATCTAAAGGCAAGAGCTTTACCCAACATTTGGAGTTTGCTTTTTTGGTCATTTGGCTTCTAGGCTTAATATTAGTAACATGGTGGCTTCAGTGAGCTTTTTTTTAAGAAGCTTTCCTCTGGTGTCCACACAGTCTTATTTGGGTCCCTTAGTCAGTCAGTAAGCATGCGTGGAACACTCCCCAGTGCTTTGCGAGGGCTCATGTTGCAGAGCAGTCACGTATGGGTATTTGTAGTTATAAATACTTGACCAGTCTCCAGGGGTGGGGTTTCCAACCCTTTAAACACCCCTGTTGACTGTTTTGCTCGAAGTGCCAGAATCGACTGTGGTAGGACATCTTTCACCGAGAAATAAATACAATGGAACATAATGGGTCTGCTTCAAATGCTGATAAAATCCACCAGAATCGCCTGTCGAGCGTTACAGAGGATGAAGACCAAGACGCCGCTTTTACCATTGTGACTGTGCTGGACAAAGTGGCAGCCATCGTGGACAGTGTGCAGGCAAGCCAGAAGAGGATAGAAGAGAGACACAGGGAGATGGAAAACGCCATAAAATCCGTCCAGATAGACCTACTGAAGCTTTCACAGTCACACAACAACACAGGCTATCTTATTAATAAGTTGTTTGAGAAAACCCGCAAAGTCAGTGCTCACATTAAAGACGTGAAGGCCCGGGTGGAGAGGCAACAAACTCATGTTAAAAAAGTTGAATCTAAGCAAGAGGAAATACTGAAGAAAAACAAATTCCGCGTGGTAATATTCCAGGTAAGCTTGCACTCGTGCTTAGCTCGATTACTGCAATCTCTCACATCCTTTAATGGCCAAGTCGTGTCAGAGGTTTCCAGTGTTGCATCATAACTATGGTATATATTCATGTGGTGGAGTTCAGTATCAGCAGAGATCTCAAGATCAAACCATTTATTTCTGTGTTAACTAATGTACTGTCATATCAGTCTTTTGAGCTGCTCAACCATTTTGTGTAATATGAACTGTGGATCATAGCTGAGGCTATTTCAGTCTTTGAAACTTAATATTGGTAAGGCTCTTTCGGCATGTTGGACATATTAGAATGATGCCCTCTCATAGACCTTGGAATGTTAGAACTCCAAGAGACCTAAGAAGCCTCTAGTTTAAAACACCTTTTTGTTGTGTGAAAAAAGAAACTGAGGACCAGTAGCCCCACAATGTGGTTTTCTTCCTTATTATGGAGAGCCAGGAAAGCCCTAAACAGTAAAATGTGAACTTTTCAGAATATAATCTGTCTATTGGAATATTTACGTAAGAGTCATAAATAAGAAAAATGCTATTTCTTAATGAATCAGGAAATTATTTTTTTATTATATTCATACAAATGTAGGAGTCATATAAGTGATTCCTTATATTTGATTACGTAGTCTTTTTACTTAGTGATTTAACATAATAGTTTTTGTGTGGCATTGTGTATTGAGCTAAGTTCCTATATTACTCTGAGCTTGATACTTGTGTTTTTTGAAATTGGAACATATCCATGGCAAATGCTTAGTATCTGTAATGTATTTTAAAGCTCTTCTAAATCAAAAGGATAAAGTTGAACTCTCCTCCCATGGTGGAAAAACAGGAAAGTCGTTATCAGAAGTTCACAAAAGACAAAATAAATGAGCAGAATTCCACTTTCACCTATTTAAATATTTACAGTTACTGAAACATAGAGTTCGAGGGTAGAAAAAAACAAGTACTTCAGTATTCTGCTGGTGGGTATATTAATTGGTGCAATTAATTTTCTGGAGGGCAGTTTTGTTAGTATGCATTTAAGAACCTTAATAATTCACAAACCTTTTGGCCCCAAAATTTCATGTCAGAGATTTGTTCTCAGTATAAAGTAAGTAATGTATGCAGGGATGTTCACTGGTGCATATATACAGTGTTATCACACTGTATTTTTAAAATGGATGAATGCCCATACGCATAGGGAAAAAACTCTAGAAGAATTAAAACAAAATAAGATAGGAACACAGTTGGATTATGCAGGCAGATATGTGTAAGATACTAAGGATGTGGGCCATAACTCCCCATGGCATTCTCTACACTTTAGTCAGTTCTCCATAGCCCTCTGGTGACTGATAAAGTTACACTGGGATGGCACAGTGGTATTTTGGATCTGTTTTTAAGAGCTTGTTGGTTATTTAGGAAGAAGAAGAGGAGAGAGAAGAGTTGCTTATTTTAAAAGTAGGCGGATTGCACTAGGCCATTTGAAATTGTGTATCATTTTCCTTTCCTTCCAGGTCACTGGAAGTCCTATTACAAACTTAAAAATATGAAAAAAAAAAAAAAAATCACTCACGTTACTTTCAGAGGCCCGTCCCAGCATTAGTGTATGTAATGGGAATCTGATTTGGTGTTGGAGAATGTAGTATACATTTTTCAATTCACTTTCCAAGGGCATTAGCGGCAGTGAGCGTATCTCACCCTCCACTTGCTTGGGACATGCCAGGAAACAGTCTTGGTGTCCAGCATCCCTCCTGAGAACCTTGTGCAAGGAGTGGACCAGGGACCGTCAGGATTTACCAAGGCCAGCACAAAGAGGTTTCTGAAATTTCTAATTGGCTCTTGTTTGTCTATTGACATAATTCTTTTTTTTTTTAAAGTTAAGATGTTTCTGTATTCACCTGTTTATTCCCTGAAACTATGTTTTTTTCCTTTTCTTTGAGCCCCTATTCTTACTTGAACAAATAGAAGGTAGTATGAAAAAGCAACTGAAAGGCGCTAGTTTAGGTCAGATCTTTCTTTGTAAGAGAGAATGCTGTGAAGAGTCTGTGAATTTACGCTGTTCAGGATAAGCAGCAGTTTGTAAATAAGCCGTTGCTATCTTTTATAATAGAGCTTGTGGAGAAGGATAAAGGCAGGCACCAGTGGACATAGACCTCAGACCGAGGATTCATTAGATGTTAGGACACTATGCAATATTCACATGGTTATTCTCAGCAATGAAAATTAGTTCTTATAATTCATTCTTGGAGTTAATATGTATAAGTGGTTATATTGAGATTCTCCCTTCTACTAAAATTAACTTGAAACTGAGTAATTCAGCTTTAGTATACTTTCATTTCCATTTGGATTTTTCCTCAAATAGTTTTCCCTGGATATGTCTTTTGTGGCAGTGTTTATTAGTATTTTATCACCCACAGTTGTGTATGGCTGAGTTTTCACCTAATCCTGGACATGAGCGTTAAAAAAACTTATCTGCTATTTCTCATCCAGTTACAGATTTTTCTTTGAGCATACCTTTATCTTGATGACCTTCTCATCATGCAAGACAGGAGTCTTACCATATCTTCTAACAATTTTGCTTACTGACCACATGCCTGTGATTACATACATATATATATATGTATATACACATATATATGTATAATATTTATATAATAATATTCCCCTAGTTATATTACGCTGATACTCAATCAAAGCCACATTGCTCTGACCCAAAGTACTCATTTTATTATAAAAATCATCTTTTTACCTGAACTTTTACATAAAAAGATACATGGTAATTGTATTTGGAAATCACCTATAATTCAATCCTATAATTATTATTACAGTGTATTTACCAGTAACTCATGGTATCTCTGACTCATAGGAGTTGCAATAAATAGATCCACATAATGAGTACTTTCTCTGACTCTACCTCTGTTTTTTTTTGAAGCCTAATTTTGTATAATTTGTTAGGCGGTTGAGAATGGGTATGTGATTCCTGAGTTAAGCTATATCTGATTTCTTCACAGCAGGATTGTGAGGGGTTTTCCTCCCTATCAAACAGTAACTATTCTTTGGCTCCTTCCTTTTCTAATTATGCCTTCTCAGGCCGTACCAGCCCCCTCAAGTGTTGCTGAAGCTCCTCCCTGTAGCAGGTGTCAGGAAAGGAGAGGAATAACTTGGCTGCTTCTGATTCATCAGAGAGCTACGAGACACCCACCCTGCCTTTTTTTAGCTTCTAGCCTCTCCAATCCTGTAGCCAAAGAATTTAATTTTAAATAAGTATCCAAAGAAATAAGGTTCCAGGGATACCTTCTCGACTATCAGGCTGATAGGTTTTGAATATGTATAAATGTATTTCTTACATATTTATAAAATTTTTTTGACTGAACAGATTTAATCTGGATCTCAAGTAGGAGCACAGTTTCTTTTAGAAATTTTAACTTAGGGATTCAGTTAAAAAATCTCATGATCTTTAAAGTGTTGCCTGTTTAGTTTTAGAAATAATCCCTAAATAGTGAGTTGGGTTCCTCTAGCAGCTGTGTTTCTGGGTGGGTTCTCAAGGTCACCAGGGTCTGCCGTGTTCCCAAATCCAATTCGCATCCTCATCCTTTGACACATTTGACATAGTTGGTCCTCTCTCTCTTCCTGAAGCTTTTTTCCCCCTTGGCTCCTGGGTGTGCTACTCTCTCTTGGATTTTCTCCTGCCTCACTGGCTGATAAATCTCCTTTTTGGTTCTTTTTCATCTCGTCCGTCGTATCCAGAGGTCCAAAATCCATATCTTTTCATAACACTAAAATCCAAACATTTCTAAAAATAATTTTTTTTCATAACTTATTTGGCAGCAAGACTTAGCTTGACCTGAACCCATTTGATGGCAAAGCCTCACCTGAAATAGCATGAGGCTGTTTATACTCTTTATCCCACCATACAGTGAATATTCATATTTTTGCTGCAAAAATGTTTCTTCCCAAGATCTCACTGGGAATGTTATGTAATATATTATATTTCCCCCAAATATGAAATATTCTGATTTCTGAAACACACCATGGCGCCAAGGGGTTTTGAATAACGGAGTGTAGACTCATTCGCTCAGTTTCTTGGTGATCTCTTTCATCTGGTCTCATGATTTT